AAAAAAAAAAAAAAGAAAAAGCACACTCATTGGACATTGAGCTAAACAGTCACGATGTGAAATAAACTTACCATGTTTTGTACTAGTGGCCAATACTTTATAAGGTGTCAACTTCAAGTCCAGATTTTCTTTCCGCAACAGCTTTTGATCAGAAGATAAATACATTAAGCCACTGAGACAGTTTTGTGGAAAAATACAGTTTTGTGGAGGCAACCTTACTGTAAACTAAATTATCTTTCATTATCAGAACACATTTATTAATTTTTGGTGGCATGGTAAGTTTTATCTCTAAATCTCTATCATCAGTTTTCAATAATGGTAGGCGAAGGTTCCTCCTACCATTTTATGCAGTCCTTTTTTGGACTTAAAATATTTTAGAACTCAGAAACAAAGAAATGAGGGGAAACATATTCTTTTGAAAACCTGAGACAAGGATGGCTTTTCTCTTTAAAAAAAAAAAAAAAAAGGATCTAACAGACTTACTAGAAATTATTAAATCTGACATGAGAACTTAATTTAGAAACTTTTTTTTCTTTTAGAGACAGGTTTTTGCTATGCAGTTCAGGCAGGCCTTGAACTTGCAGCAAGCAGCAATCTTCCTGCCTCAGCCTTCTGAGTGCTGGATTACAGGCATGCCCCACAGTGCCTAGCTTTTGAGAACAAGCTGAGGGAACACATGCAGTTCTACAGTCATCATTACAGGCACTGTGAAGTGTACCAAAACAAATCTGTTCCAGGTCAACTGGACATTATAAGTGAATGCTACAGATACTTCTGTTTCTGTAAAGAGTCTATACACTAAACCATGGTTTTCTAAAATGAAAAAGTGTCCCCAACTAACATAAAAATTATATTCACCTTGTCCATAAGTGAAATGATTTGAAGAATGAGTTGATCTTGGCGTAAATCATCTCCATGCTTAAATATAACTGGATATTTGCCTCCGTCTTCTGTCTTAAAGAACAGCTGCGCAGGCATAAGAGCACTCTGGAAAAGGAAACCACTGCGTTAAAATTTGGAAGTAAATTAATGAATAAAGGCTTACTATACACCAAGGAAATGCTGCCAGTTAAGTTAAACAGAAAAGTAAACAGGACCTAAGGAAACAAAACAGCTGTCAGTACGACGTATCAGGAAGCCACACAGAGAACACTGAACTAGCTAAGGGAGGACTGTACGGTGGAAAGAGAGCAAACTTTGGAATCAAACAAGCCTGGATATGAATCCAGGCTCTGCTAGGTACTAGCTGGGATGATTCTGTGCACATTCTGTGTTTCTGTGTCTATAAAATAAAGAAAATGTTTATTCTGCTAAGGAAATCAGAAACCATAGCAGTGAGAGGCCTGGCGCCATGCCTGATACAAAGCAGATGTTCTGAGAGTACGCATGCCCACCACACCATTATTTGTATCACTGAGATATACTGGAGTAAATAAGGTAAAACAAAACAGTACGAATATGGGGCTGGGGATTTAGCTCAGCGGCAAAAGCGCCTGCCTGGCAAGCGCAAGGTCGTGAGTTCGGTTCCCGGTACCGGAGAAAAACCAAAAAAAAAAATAAATAAAAAAAATAAAAAAAAAAACAGTACGAATATGTGCAAGATGGAAAGTCAAGAATTCCGGGTTTGGTGCATTGTATGTCACTATTTGTAGCTTTGGTTTTTTTTGGAAATGGAACTCAGGACTCTGTGCTTGCCAGGCAGGCACTTGTGCCACTGAGCTGTATCCCCAGCCTACTACTTGTAGCTTTGAGACTCAAAATCTACACGTGTAAGGTCAGGAGAGATCACAAATATTTGTACTTTTAGTCACAATCTTTCTCTTTATAGCATGAAATCCCTAAATTAGTTTAGGTATGTTTAAATCAACAAAAATTAATCTGTTAAATTCTCTTTAGAAAGGGAGGCTACATAACATCTCATATAAAATGGCACCCTGAGACCACTATTTGAGACAAACAGAACTTCTGAGGAAAGCACCCTATAGGTTTTGGTCACTCAGAGGAAATATTATGTAAGACGAAATTTGAAGAAATTTATAATAACCCAAAGAAAATAAATCAATCAAGTAAAACACGTGGCAATAACTAATTAATACAAGCCAAGAAAAGCATAGCACAAAAAGTATCACAGAAAGAGATGAACAGACACACGAGCAAAGCCAAATGCTAAGGACCGGACAGAGTGGAAGGCACGTAGCTGTGTACTGGGAAGTTCTTGCAACTGTGCTCTGTGTTTGAAAACATTCCCATAGAATGAAGGGGAGAAAGGCAGGAAAATGCTTTAAAGAATACACTTTAGAACACATACACTCTGGTGAGACTAAAATTCTGACTTTAAAGTTGTGATACACATTCATCACCCCTAATGAAATGTATTTTCTAAATTACTTTGAGCTCTAGTTCTCAGCAGCTCAAAAATAGTAACTGGAAGTGAGCTTCCTAAAGATAAATGATAGCTACTTTTGCTTGGTCCCAAGAGAACAGAAATATTAGAAGCTGGTCTGTACTACCCAAAGGACGCCAGCTGACACACGTGCACTGCCTTGTGCACAGCTTTCGGGAGATCAGTGCATCTGTTGTGACACTAGTACTTTTCAAGTTGCAGATGGTAATCTACTAATGAAGTTTAAAACAAATGAAACAGTTTGTAAGAAACATTTAAAAAGTAAGGCAACTATAAATTGTCTGTCAAAGAATAGAAACTATCATTCCATAATGCACAGCAGGGTTACTCGGTTTCTTTTATGAAACCTATACATTAATTGTGTGAGATGGGCTACAAACAGGTTGGCCTAACAATGTACCTCTTAAAAATATCTGAACTGTTTCCTACTGTAATTCTAGCTCCCTCCATTACATGATGCAAAGTAATGTTCAATATAACTTTATGCCTTCCCAAAACTATAGTCACAAGACCACATCTCACAGAGGTTGCTCAGGGCAGCAGAGAGCGTGGCCTGACAGGTAAGACTCCCTGCCCTTTGGCCCTTTACCCTGCTTAAAAAAGGCAAGTGCACGACCATTTCCATCTGAGCAATTTGTGGCCAGCCAAAAGAAAGCTAAAGAGAACTGCTACTTGAAAATAGAAGAAAAACATTTCAAGTTCACTGGCACAGATACTAAGTTGAGAAATGTTAGAAAGATTAAGTAGGCCTCCACACCTAATCACATGAACTTCTGAACTGAATGCATGCATAAGCTCTGCATTGCAATTTGTTTTACTAAAAACAAAACAGCCTAAATGGAGAAAACCAGTGACACTGATTAAGTATTAGTTCAAAGAATTTTGTAGTTTAAAATGATATAAAAATATTTTACACATTGCATTTCTTTAAATGCCTATTGCTTGTAACACAGAAAATCTTAAACCACAACAGTAAATGCAAAGTCATTTTTTTTACTAGCCTTTACTAAATCAACAGAATCAGGAACATTCCCTTTGCTGCACTAATTTTCCAAGATACTTTTTCTGTTCTATTTTTAAAGAATTAGATTCCAATCATTTGCATTAAAGATCCATCATAATTACCTTAAACAGCGTGGCTGTTTCTGGAATTATTCCTCTGATTTTCACCTGGGGTTCTAGAGGCAGTGGGATAAGTTCCACATCTGACAAATTCATCTTTTCATTATCTCCAAGCAATGCCTGAAGTCTCTCATTCTAGAACAAGTTAAAAAGATTAATTAGGCTAAAAGGGAAAGTTCTCTATAATATATAAACTACTTTACACATAGTTTATGTATTTATATAGTAAAGACATAAAAACGAAGCTAAGCCAGATGTTGTTGTGCATGCGTGTAATCTTAGCACTCAGGAGGCTGAGGCAAGAGGATTATCTCAAGTTCCAGGCCAGCCTAGGCTACACAGTGAGTTCAAAGCCAGCCTGGACTACACAGTGAGACCCTGTCTCAAAAAACAAACCAGAAAACAAAACAAAACAAAACTGAATTTAATTTGAAACTATGTGCAAAGCACCATGAAAGTATACAAAAACATAAACAGTATGTGTGTGAGAAACATTTACAAATTATCCACACAATAGCAGCAAAATTATTTAAAAGGAGTGACCTCTTGACTAAGAAAAGCTAAGTTTAGAATACACTCCACTTACCGTGGTTGAGCAAGAACAAGAAATGCATTCAAGCTGGACTTAAAAGACTCAGTATCTTTCTCCAAAGGACTTATGAAGTTACAGAAAAAAATGAATTTCCTTTGAAGCTTAATTTCGCATGACAAAATATTATTTGAAAATACACTATGTTATCCCAGTGTACTTTTTGGGTTTAAGGAGGAAACTGAATTCACTCGGAGGATCTTGACAACCTCTGCCTTCTACCTATCACTGACACTGCCTAACTCCACTTTTTCCTAAGACACCAGCACCGTCCCTTTCTCCTGCAGCACACACGTATGGAACTGAGCTAAGATCTCAGGTACTGAGAGGTGCAAGTCATGGTGAAACAGCTCTGAAATCTACAGAACCCCTTATATTCAATTTCAAAGGACGAATCTATTTCACTTGAAAGCTAGCAGAGTTTTGCATTCTTTAACAGGTGAGCTTGCGCTGCATGAGTGAAAACTTGAACTGCCAACACCAGCGGCATAGTGTTTCCACTGTAACACCAGCTGTATGCATCAGAGGAAGGAGTTCCGGAGTCAGTGAAAGATGGAAGGTGAAGAAAACTGTCTTAAGAACTACCCAGAAATTTTCCTTCAGTAATATTCAATAGCTCCTTCTCAATGACCAGGTCAAGTGAAAAATCAACTGTGAACTGGTACAAATTCCTGTACATGGTTTATGAAAAAGTCAACCAGTCTCCTTACTCAAATGGATGGTCAGATATGTCAATGCTAGGAAGTATCTGGTTATTTTATTTTTTGTCAGCACATCAATCAGAGATCGATTAAAGTGGAATGTTTAACCTCAGACGGGCATACCCAGCGGCGTCTCCTTCTCATTACTGCAACAGAGGCCTGAACGCTGCTCTTCCTCACTCTGCAATCCCAGCAGTCTCATCCAAAGCAACCGGAACGCTGCTGCTGCTAAAATGGAAAGACCTGCACTGCACCGCAGACGCACGGACGCGCCCTCTGCTGGTGGGCACCGGGATCACACCGCTTCTCACCAGGACAGGCACAGCCGGCAAGACTGGTTTAAAAGGACAGCTCAATAAAAATGTGTTTCCCCTCTGTATTTTCTATCTCGGTAAACAATTATTCCTTGTTCTTACCTCCACTAGCATTTTGTTAGACCTGCCCCCCTGCTTTGAGCTTCTGATTCAGTTCATCCTTTCCTCTCTCAAGTTTTCTTTCTCAAGTCTAGAGAATAACAGTAAGATGGCCGAGGATATAGCTCAGTTGCACAAGCACGTGCCTAGAAAGTGCAAAGTCCTGAGTTCGATTCCAAAAAAAAAAAGCACCTGGCTGAGAATAATAGTAAGATGCATTGTGTTGTTTTACAAAAGTCACCAAGACAGAGCTGCCTATTACCCAATGTGATCAGACAAAAAAACAAGTGAATTCTTCTCATAACTTAAGCTACTGACCAGAAAACATGACATAAAAAGAACAAAGACTATTCTACTCATCTTGCCTGAAGGAGCAAGGCAATAGCTGGGATACCCGGCACAAAGCCCGGTGCTGTCAAGAACAGCCAATTCTGCAACGCAGCAGGTCATTCTGAACAGCACTTTCTCCAAATTCTAGTCGACATGATCTGTGGAGGTCTTTTCATACTAAATACATTATATTCTAAAATGCTAAGATTCTAAAATGGAGCCAATGAAACACTGTGAATCAAAACTACAGATCCAGTACATGTGGGCAGAAGTACCTCCAACTTAACAGTCGATTGGATGACACTGGACAACTTCACTTCTCTGTGCCTCCTACCCCACCAATGAGGGTCATAATAATACCTCATCAACAGGATTACAGCGAGGATTAAATATATTAGCATATGTAAACGCAAACAGGATTGCATATATAGTTGGTGTTTAAGTGTTTCTAAAACTACAAATACATACAAATTCATATAATATACCGTACTGACCCAAAGAAATAGTGTTCAAAACTGAGTACTCTATGATACACAGTCACTTCGTTGTAAGCACAAAGCAAATCAGTTTTACCTTTTTCTTCCGATTTCCGCTTTCACGCTGCACTGCCTTCATTAGATGCACCAGCCGATCCACAAATGTCTGCTGTGCAGCCAGCAAAGAACGCATAACTCTGACAGATTTATCACCCTGAAGGGAACCAAAGCGAGGAAAATTAGTTCTGCGCAGCATAATGATCAGGGTTTCTCTAATAGCATGGGTTATCTTTTTTTACTCTTGTAATAGCCATAAACTTCAACACAAAGCAAAACTGAAAGTGATTAATTATTGTGACTCAGAGATAATGAGAAACCTACTATTTTAAGTAAGCACCACCAACTCATTCACAGTTGAAAGTTATCTGAGTCTTTAGAGCACTGGTCCACCCGAAACAATACACCCTGAAACTCCCTGACAAGACAGAATTCATTCAGTCCAAAGTGCTTTAGCTCCCTGATTCAGTAAATACCTGAAAAGCGGTAATGCCAGAAATGTGCTAGGTATACATAGGGCGGAAACAAAGATGCTATCTTCAAGAGACTAAAACACCTACTAAGGAAAGGGAAGTAGCCCTTTACGAATACCACTGTACTTTCTATTAATTTAGAGGCAGGGGGAACCCTAAAATCTGTCAAGTTTTATATAGTGATTCCCCGCTCAGAAAATATTGTAAAATACACTTTTACATTTAATCTATGCAATTAACACGGTAAGGGCAGCTGGGGAAATATTATCCCTATTCCAGAGATGACACGATTTAAGCTCAGAAAAACTGTAATGGCTTCACAGGATAAACAGTGAGATTAGAACAGAGAACCAAAGGTTTATCTGTCAATCAGCTTGACAGTGAAAAGCTCTGAGTCCTGTGCACTATTTACAAGCTTAGTCTCAAAGTGACTAATAAGATGAAATTTAAATTTCTGCAAACTTGAAGCATGAAACAGCAGATAAAAGATGCTATAAAGTAAAACTTCCCCTACTGAAGTCAGGTTAATGAATGAGTTTTGTGTTCACTGCCCTTGCGCCCTCTGCTGGCTGGCTGTGACAGTGCTTTCAGAATCGAAAGAACACAGGGAAAATAGGAACACAAGGAAAAAACACCGCAGCAAGTTTTAAAAACTGTTGATGAAGCAAACGAGCCTGACAGAGAGTATCTGCAACATGACTACAGGAGGGTTTCTGAGAACGCACCTAGTCTACACAAAGAAAACAGAAAGGGGCATTTTAAAGGCAAAGTTGTTTCCTTTTGTTCTACATACAGATTTATTTCATTAGGGAATCAACAAGCTTTCTATAAAAGGTCAAAGAGGGTTTCTGTTGTTGGCCAGAGGATTTCTGTTCCAATTATTCAGCCGCTACAGCAGTACAGAAAGAGCTGACCCACATGTAAACGAAGGAGAATAACTATGTTCCAATAATTTATTAACAGTAAATAAAATACGAACTTAAAGCAATTTCATGTATCAAAAAATACTAGTCTCCTTTTCATTTGCTTTCAACTGTTTGAAAATACAAAAGCCATTCTTCATTTGTGGGACAAAATCAAACAGGCCATGCGCCAGATCTGGTCCAGGCACTGCAATCTGTCACCCTCACAGTAAACCGTTACCTTCAGCAACGCCTGGCTGAATCTCCTCATCACATTCAGGTACATCTCATGGGTCTTTGGGTCTCTTTGCTGAGTATCTTGATCCTCACATTCCACGATCACGTACCTTAGAAAATATTCGAATCAGGTGAAATAAAACTCAGATTCATTTGGCAAATACACTTTTTCATTAAAACACACTGCGAATCAAATTCATACTTGCAAAAAGTAATTAAATGAGGGTAATGAAACTTAATTTGTCATTCTTCTTTCAAAAGTGAAAAATGGCCAGCACTGGTGATGCGCACCTATAATTCCAGCACACCTATAATTCCAGGAGGCTGAGGCAAGAGGATCACCACAAATTCAAGGTCAGTGTGGTGTACAAAGTGAGTTCAAGGCCAGCCTGAACTACATAGCAAGACCCTATCTCAAAGACAAAAAATGCATAAATAAATAAATGTGAAAAATTAAGAAGCAACGTGTACAATCATCAATAAAAAGTTAATGCGATAATGCTTTAAGTTGTGCGATACCCTAAATTGTGTAAAACCTCTGCCATCAAAACAAACACATCTTCCTATTACTGTCTGAGGTACTTAAGAGTAGTAATATACCCCAAAATCCTGTAAGCTCATGTACAGACCAAGAACAAAATCTATTATTTTTACATCTGTAATACTTTTGGTATTACTTAAGTCTTTCTTATTCTGAAAATCTGGAGTTATTGCTCTCACAGCATATTTTTGAAAGATGAATAAAATTTTAGACCTTTTCCTTTTTCATCCAATTTCCCCATTTCTTAAAGACTCACACATAATCTTCAACTTTTCCAGGAAAGTTCCTTCTATTCTGTTATAATGAAAATTTAAATATTTTCTTAGACTCCTTATACACCTACAGCAACCATACAAGTAATGATCAGTCAGAGGACGTTTAATCAAGTGCTTCCAAACGTTCTGACGGGAACCAATTGTTACAGCAAATAACATGTGATATTACAGCCTGGTACACACTGCAATGTGTGCACACAGATACATAACACAGAAGGCAGCACTCCGAACAATGTTACCACTGCCTAATATTTAATATTCACTCTACTATAGTTTTCTTCAATAAATGCTAAGTTGTGAAATTTAAAATACTTGCAATAGACCATAATGTATGGCTTGAAAACTACAAATCTACATCAACTTCCGAGGTTCATCAACCACAAAACTGGGAGACACTTTGTCTTTCCAGGGTGACAATGAGATGACTGTCGAGCTAAGATCAGGACTCAAGAATCTGGTCCCTTGGTCAGTTTTTTCATGTCTACTAAGTTGATTCTTACCCTGTTCTGTCTTTAAAAAACAACAAAATTTTTCAACCTTTTTGAAAATGTTCCCCAAATCTCAAATCATGGATGCACTTTATTATCTGTTATACTACTTGTGGGAAAGATTATATAGCCATCTAAAAAGGTAACCTTCATTAGCAGACAGCTTAACTGGTTTATTCTCTACAATACCCTCAGTTCTTCTATGTCCAGCTTGTAACAGATTATTATCTTATTGCTGAATAAATGAAAGATTCCAAGATACACCTTAGGTCTTTTGCATTTCATTATGTAGCCTGCTCTTACGTAATGAGACCCTCTTGTCAAGATACTGCCACTCACTTTTTACTGAACATATGTAAAACTGAGCTTATCAAACTAAATGGCATCTTTTTCTACCTCGACTGGAAGTACTATCAATATTACAAGCCCTTGGGAGGAAACTTTCAAATAGCAGAATTCACAGCTTAGGTTTTCTCAGAAGTTAGGCAGGAAACATATGTTTGAATCATCTGAATACAAAAAAAGAGGGAAAAGTGGGGTTGCAGTCAAGTCAGAGAACCAACTTCTACTTTAAACTCCTGTTGACTCTTTGTGTTCAACTCGTGATCTAGGCATCCAGAGTCACACTTAGTTGACAGCCTGCTGCCGCAAACACCTGTCCTCAATTACTCACATACCCTTCTGGTTATTCCTAGTAAATGCCTCTTGATGATGGCTCTGTATTATCCTGCCCTACCTGAAATCAAACAGCGATCTCCGGCCTCTGCAAATCTAAAAAGAAATTACTTATTGCTCAATTTAATCATCCTAAATTTTTCTTGTTTAAAATTCTTTCAATATTTCCCACCCTTATTAACAAGAACATCAATATTACCCCTTTCCGCTATTTTACAACAGATTCTGTAGCCGAGCTCTGTGTTTCAACCTTCCCCTATGTCCGAGGCATGCATGCACTCCTCCTCCGGGCAGGTCAATCCTGTAAAGCTCCTAAACACCCACTCTGTGCTTTTGCTCCTGCTCTGTCCAGAAATAACCTTCCCTGGTCTCTTCGTCTTTCCATAGCGTACCTGTTCTTCAAGCGCAGCTGACATCTGTCTCTCCAGGAAGTGTGTGCAGATGCTGACAAGTTCTTCCTTTTCTACTTCCCCAGAAAGGGCTAAGCCTTGCAACAGCTTGTGGTAATAACGGTTCCTGGTCTGCTGATGCTGAGCATTTGGGACTCTTCACAGGTCATATGAAAAGTGATGCCAGGTGCCATAATCTTAAAAACTAAGTATCTCTAGATATACCCAAGATGGTCTATACAAAGAAAAGTCAGTAAGAGACCTTCCCTCTCTATTTCTCAGAGCAATACTGTATCATAACACCACATCTTAGTGACTGTAGAACCCAGAATTTGCTGTAAAGTTGTATGAGAAGTTGAACCATGATACTATTTCCACCATATCATCTTCCCAGCAAGAGCTCTAAACTAAAAAATCCAAAAACTCTTGAATCCAGAATGCTCTTACACCTTCCACAACTGCCACTGGACATATACGATTTATAGTCTGCTACAAAATTTAACAGTTCAGTTTCTCAGTCACATTATATACATTTCAAGTGCTCAGTAGCTGTATATACAGAGTTGAAGGTCATTTACATAACTGCATAAAGTTCTACTGGATAACGCTGCTCTAGATTAATGAGCTACAAACAGCTAAGAAATAAACTAATATTTTCCATTCATGCTGTTTTAGAGTATTTGGTCATTTCAGAACACCACCTAAGAATGTCAGAAAACAGGGGTTCTAAACTATAAAAATGGCAACAGGATCTTATTCAAAGCCAATCCTGATTGGTTGAAGTCCTTGATTGGCTCCATCAAATTCGCGTATTTGTTTCTTTCCTGAGTATGCAGCAAACTCATTTACAAATGAACGTACAGATGAGCACAATACACAGGCCCTGCTGTGACACGCTGTCTACTGGCCTTCTTGGCCACCAAGTAAACAGTATGGCTGCAGCTATTTTCTGTGACTGAAAGTACACACTGGTCTTCAAGATGATGGTCAAGTATCAAACACCTCTTAAAATTATTCAAGTCAAAGTTCTGCTGCAAAGAAAAATGTCATCTAAAATATAAATGACTGCATCGTCTCCGAATACGAGAAAGGTTAGATCAAGATGAGAACAACTAGATTTGAATCATTTCTGAGTTCTCTGTTCACACCAATAAACTAGCTTGCAGGAAGCACTCTCGCGTATTCCCTTGAAAGCTGTCACCCGAAGTAGAAATGCAGACAAAATTGTCCGGTAGTCACTGCAGGACGACATCAGCGAGCTACCTGTTTCCTGGCAATTTCATTTTGTGGAGTAAATAACTTTTATTACCTTGAAAGGTCTTAAAAGTTATAGAAAACATGTCAAAACCTCCAAAGTTTACTTTCAATTTCAACGTACTAGAATGACTATAAAAATAAAAAACTGGAACGATTTATAGATTCTGATGCCCAACATTTTACAGATTGGAGACTATAACTCCCCTCTGTGGCTTAAAAGGTTGACACAATTCATTTTAAAAGGATTGTCTGCACAACTATAGACCCCTAAGGATTTAGCTACAGCTGGAATCATGTTTAAATCACTGGAAAGGGAACAAATGAAAAAAGAAATTCAAAAGGTTCAAAAGGAAATAGCACAATTGGTTAGGTTTATATTTTAATACATTCATTATAACAGAGTAAGCCTAGTAAGGCATATTTAAATTTTCACATCTAATTAACATTTTTATACTATTCTTCTCATGTTCAAATAGAGAATGATCATTTGAAACCGACTATTTGAAATTATTTTCCATATTGTTATCCTACATTCACAAAAGCAGTGTCTACCAAAATCAGGATTTCACAACAACCGTTTTTCTCCCCATGAGTATTTCTAAATGTGTAATATACAGACTATAAATACGGGAAAAGCAATTACTCCTTAGAGAATGAATAGACATAGCACATGCTATTGCTCTAATGAATCAGAGATACAGTGGGAAAACACAAATCAAATCTTAATTTGATGGAATGCACCTAAGACTGGGAACTGGGGCAGCATTTTAATATCTAGAGAAAAAAAATACAGTGCTATTCCCGAACAGAAAGCAGTTCCTGTTGGAAAGTATCCATGGCAGGAGGTTTCCTCCTCTTCAATGCTTTCAGAATGCTGCAAAAACTCTTCCTACATGAAATAACAGATCAAAGATTCTATGAAAAGTAATTTCATATTTTACAGTGAAAGCTGTTTTATAGTCAAATCGAAGAATACGTATAATTTCAAAACACCACATGATCAGTATATAAACGTACAGTTTTTCTAGTACTGACTACTTTCCACAGAGGAAACTCTCCACAAATATTGCAAGGAAACAAAATATCTATGAAGGAATTCTTAGTAAATGAATAAAAGAACATATAAAACATTAACTTTTAAAATACTAAGGAGTTTAGAAGTACTTAAAGCTTTGTTAACATGCCCAGTGTTTTTATGGGGGTGCTGGGGGCTGAACCCTCAACCTTCACAGTTAGCTAAAAACATCTAGCTTTTTCGTTTTTTCATTTTTATTTTAAAATATCATCTCATTAAGTCACTATATTGCCCAGGTTGGGCTTGAACTTGCAACCTTTCTACCTCAGCCTCCTACAGTGCTGTGATTAGTCATGTGTCACCATATGCATGGCAGTGTATACCTGTAATCTCAGCACTCTGGAAGCTGAGGCAGGAAGACCTCTGAGTTCAAAGACAGCCTGAGCTACATAGTGAGTTCAAGGCCAGCCAGAACTATATAAGCAAGATCTTGTCTCAAAAAACAGACAAATAAATAAATGCAATTGGTAATTAGAATTTCTAAGCAAATCTTTTCTCTTTTCTTTCCTTTTTTTGGTCTTTTTGAGACACGGTCTCACCATACAGTTCAGAATGGCCTTGAACTCACTTTGTAGCCCAGGCTGCCTTGAACTCACAGCAATCCTCCTGCCTCAGCCTCCCAAGTGCTGGGATTACCGGTGTGTTCTACCATCCCTGGGTAAGAAAACTTTTTCAATGGAAAACTAGACTAACAACTAGCCAGAATATTTTGTGTATATTTTCAAGGACATGCCAAAATTTAATGTGATGGAAAGGCATTTTTATGAATACTGAACTCAAACTTTAATTTAAAGTAGATAACTATTTTTCTTTCCACTACTAAGGCTCAGTTTCCAAAAGTGGAAAAAGTGACTGATTTGGCAGTTAAATTGTTGATAGTGACTTTTCTTGTTGTAAACAGAACTATAAAGACTTAAAAAAAGGGCTGGGGATTTAGCTCAGTGGCAAAGCGCCTGCCTGGCAAGCGCAAGGTCGTGAGTTCAGTTCCCGGTACCGGAGAAAAACAAAAAAAAAAAACAAACAAACAAAAAAAAAAGACTTAAAAAAATACTCTTTATGCAAGTAACAGGCACTATATTGGTTAAAAGAGTGATCTGATCTAGTTATCTTCGTGAATAGAGGACATTATCTTTGGAGAATGCAAGACTGATGGTAAAGCTTGACTAGATCCATGTTACAGTTTTTCCAAGCCAAGTCTAAAAATAGTGTTTTGTTTAATTTCACAATGAAAAAGCAAAATGCTCCTTTATTATTAAAAATAAAAATAAGCTTTCAAAACAGGTGTCCACTAATTTGTACTAAAGTTAAAGCCATAAATTAAGCAGTAAAATAAGATCAGAGATCACTTCTACAGTTAAACAATCTATGTACCACAAGTTTAAAAAGTTACACAGTTTTCAGCATTCACTCAAACGTAAGAGGCTTCTAGTAGAGCTTACCCAACTGGCTCTGCCCTTTGTTTTCTCTGTAAAAACTGGTAAGATGCATATAAATAGTATTGAATCCACTGCTTTCTTTTAGTGAGCCAAAATATTTCTCATTATGGTTTATGCTACTTATTTTCTAACCTTTAGGTACCTGTCACAGAGTGAAACCAGGCTTCCTAGAGCTGTTTGGAATTCAGTTAGTCTCTCCTGCCTTAATTCTCTCTTTTCTTCAATTCACTCAGTATACTGTTCTCATGGGTAAGTCACACTTACCCAGGTAACTACAGAGAGAAAAGTGGGAAAAGGTCACTGGAAATACTCTGCCAATGGTGAAGTGGTAAATAATCTAGTCCTAGATCAGGGCCTAAGTTCAGGTACAGCCTGCCTCTGCATCAGTTTCTTCATCATGAAAAGGAGGTAAGGTAATTTTGACCTCTTTCTATTTGTGCACAATTCCGATATTTTGGTAAATAATGTGAAAATACAACCTTGAAAATTATAAAGGATCATATACTACTTACACAGTGCAAAAGTCAAACAAACCAAACTGTAAAAACACGTGACCTTAGCTCTTGGAGAGTCAGTGAACACAGGAGAAGCACGGATGCTAACAAGCATTATGCGATGAGCGGAGTTATAAAGGAATTCAAGTAAACATAAGTACTTTGTCTAGGCTCCTCATGGTCGCCCACATTTTACGCTGAATTGTCATTACATTTCCAGCATGGCAAAAATTATCTTTGGGAACAAGAAAATAAAATAGAAAGTTATTTTTACATACCAGTATAAATAATTAGCCAGTGTTGAGTTCTTGCAGGCTCTGGATATTAAGAAGGTGCACAGATCTTGCTGAAAGAATGAAAGGAAATGTATATATAATCACACACTAACAGGAATAATAAAGCACATATTCGCTTATCAGTTTTTACCTGTATATCCTATGCTATAATTCAGATTTTCACCCATCCGTCTACCCTTCCATGTTTTTCTTCACCCTTGCTATCCATCCCATCCACCAACCAACCCACCCAGTGTGTATTCTAAATCAGGCAATATATAAGAGGTAAGGATACCTTGGTTTAGAGCTAGCTGTCTTCCTGGAGATTAATATTTGGTAAAGGAGACAGACATTAAGGAAATGGTCCTTGAAATAATGTGGAATAGGAGGTCAGAAAAGGGAGTAACTAGGACACTGCATTCAGGCTGAGACCAAGATGGCACTTCATATAAAGGCCCTGAGCTTGGCTCAAAAAAATTTTCAAGGGCCCAATGCAGCTAAAATACAGTGAACACTAAAGTATAGAGGCTAAAAAGATGAAGGTCAAATTATATAAAACCTGTTGGGCTGACAATACTGAGTATGAGCTCCATTTAAACAGCAACAGATATGGAAAGAAACATCTTAATGGGAAAGTAAGACATCTGACTTACACTTTATGAGAATGACTGGTTACTCTGAGAAGTACAAACCTCAGATCAGTTAGAATGCCCTCGAAGCTGTCTATGAGAGTGTATGGTGAGAGCAGAGGTGGCAGGAAGTTAAAATTAAGAAATACTCTTGTTTTGTGGGGGTGGGAAGGGGATCTGGGCATAGGGAGAGACAGGAAGAAGGGGAGGGGTAAGTGAAGTAAAAAGGATCAAGATGCAATATACACATGTTCCAAATCCCCATTATGGACACATTTACTATGTACTGCATACATGTACGAATAAAGAGGTATCACCATCCTCCTAATATGAGCGGACATTACGACTATCGTCTCCTGTAGCCCCAGAATGTTAGTTCCATGCAGTCAAAGACTCGGACTGTTTGGTTTTCTGCTGCATCAGTCCTAGTCCCCAGAAAAGCTTCTGGCACATAGAAGTACTCAAGAAATATTCATGAATGACTGTCTGATTACATCACTAAATGAATGTTTTATTTTGAAAAGGCAAAATAATTAGCCCACAGTAGAATAGTTTCTTAGGACTCACATAAGGATTCGATAAATTAAAAATTCTTTCCTTAGTTAAATATTGTCTGTTACACAAGGAGGTACATAAACGCACAAACTTTAGTCAGCAATTAAGATTCATTCAGTCATTAACTTATTAAATATAAATAAAATATATATATTAAAATTGAACTTTTAACATCAAAGCATGCAGTAGTATTCAACACCAGGTACACAAGAGTAATACATTAGAAGTCTTGGGGACAAATTTGATAGTACATACAAGATCAACTGTTGCAGTGCACTTCCAAATGCACTTTTCAAGGGAGCTCTATGCTGAGAGGCCTGTTTTAACTCAAAAATGCACCTATCTGTATGAGTTCTAAAAAGTGGCCTCATGTATTATTCTAGTACCGAAGTTATATTTGTACAATGTAATCACAATGACAATTACAGTAATGCACATAAATATGTTAAAAATAAATACTGAGTTTCCCTAATAAAATATTTAAGCCTAATTCATTTTCACATTGCGTATGAATCCATTTATACAGCACAGCACCAATAAAATGATGTGAATTAAAGATATTTGGTACTCTAGACTGAAGGGAGAAGTTATGAATGTGCACTATAAAACCAGTTACCTAACAAAGCTGTACTACTTAGTCATTTAATCAAAAACAAAGCTCTAGGGGCTGGGGATTTAGCTCAGCGGCAAAGTGCCTGCTTAGCAAGTGCAAGGTCATGAGTTCAGTTCCCAGTACCGGAGAAAAACCAAAAAAAAAAAAAAAAAAAAAAAAAAAAGACAAAGCTCTAAAGACCAACATAAAACGTTTATTTGGCAGCGTCTCTCCTGCAGTAGCTTGTGTACTTACCTCCAGATTTTCACCATCTGAAACTTCTTTTGTTTTGGACGCAGGAGGGGAAGACACTGGGGGAAGAGGACTGCTTATAATCTGAGAGCTGAAAAGTAACAGAAGAGATCACTGAGACTCAAAATACTCTGTAAGAGAAAACACAGTGTGTGTGTGTGTGTGTGTGTGTGTGTGTGTGTGTGTGTGGTACTGAGGATGGACACTGGGCTTTTGCCCTGAGCAGTATCTCCAGCATTTTTATCTTACTTTTTAAATTATGAGACAACAGTCTTATTAAGTTGCCCTAGCTGAGTTTGAACTTGTGATCCTAGCCTATCAGCCGCCCAAGTAGCTGGGATTACAGGTGCCTGCACTGTGCCTGCCTGAAAACAACACGTTTTAGCACACTTCAATCTAACTGCTTATGTGTCCTATCCAACATTACACTCATATTATCTTCTGGGCAAAGACCTCCATGCCAAAGATTGCGGAGTAAGAACAAGTATATTTTTATTAGTGTAGATTTTAATGAGTACTATGGTGTTTTGTTTCGGTTTTTTTGGATGGTACAGGGGCTTGAACCCAGGACCTTCATACTGACCTATAACCCCATCCGTTTTGAGAGAGGGTCTCACTAAGTTGCCCAGACAGATAACACTTGCAATCCTCCTGCCTCAGCCTCCTAGAGTGCTGGGATTACAGGTGTGCACCTCTACCCAGGGCTAGTCCAATTTTTTCAAGAGTATTTAACATTAAACCTGCATGTCCCAAGCACACTTGGCCAGGAGACCACCTCCACCTCTTTTTTTAGCTTTTAAAAAAAAATCACGCAGAATAATACATGTCCAACACACTACAATTTGGGAGGCAAGAATTCTGCTATTGAACCACCAATGCCCCTCTCACAATTCGGAAAACAATGGGCTAGTTTTCATCCCATAAAAAAATCTTGAGTAAGAAGGTAAGAAAGTGTAACTTGAGATTGAAGACCTTGACGCACGTACAGTGGGAGAAAACAATTAGTCACTTCTCTTAAAAACAAAAAGAGTAGCCTAGGGAAGCAAAAGGGGCATCTTCTTATTTTCCCCTTCTCCAAATAAAACTCAGAAGGTAGGGTGTAATATTCTGAAAATCATAAAGAAAAATTCAGAATCTAATCTTAGGCTCATATAATAAATGAAATGGCTGGAGAGACTAAGGAAAACTGAATTTCAGATTTGCTTCTGTCATTAACAAGCTTCTTTCAAAAAAAAAATTTAAATCAACAAATCTCAGATTTTTCACCTTAAAAAGTTCCTATTTGTCTCAACATTTTAAGATTTTATGGAAAGGAAATGGCAAAAAAAGAAACTATGGCCTTGAAGGTCAATTAATATTTGCAAGACAAAGACAGGGTGAATTTACTTCACTTCTCTTCCTGCCCTTCATCTATAAACGAAGGACATGAACACCAACCTTAGAGAGTGTTGCAATGACGGGCACTCCAGGGGCGCAGTCAGTCAGCACATGGTACTTACACGAACTGCTGTGATGATACAGACCACTCAGCATAGAGCCAGGTCCACAACTGGGTCTTAGTGATTGTTGTCACTGTTAATAGCTGGCTTCTAACTCAGATAATACACTATTTGCTTAGTGTAATGACAAAAGAAGTGAAAGTAGCTAATAAAAGATACAACTTCTCATAACTATTTGAGTCCACTAAACTGCCTCTTCCTTTATTTTATTTGAACATGAATAGTGGTAGTAACTAGCACTTATTGAACACAATGTGTTAAAAAATTCTCTACATGCTAAATTAGTCACGTCATTTAATCTTCAAAAAAATCCATAAAGATCAGTTATTATTGCTGTATTTATTTTTAAGGGGAGAAAGTGGTCCTACGTAAAGAATATTCAACTTAAACCATTTTGCACAGCTGATAGGTGGGTATGGTGGTGCACACCTGTAATCCCAGCATTCTGGGAGCCTGAGGCAGGAGGATCACAAGTTTGAGTGCAGCCCAGGTAACGCAGCAACTTGGTGAGATCCTGACTCTAAAGTATAAAAGAGCTGGGGATGCAGCGCAACACGAAGGCCAAGGGTTCAACCCTCAGTAAGGGAGGGTAGGGGATATGACGACAATAACGACAAAACAAAACAAATTTGCACAGTTAATAAACAGGAGAGTTAAGACTTTAACCTAGGTATTTAGACTTGATAGTCTACACAACACTGCTAATATAGTAAGTTGTGCTCTGGAAATCCAAGTGTTATATTCGTTGATAAACTCTCAAAATTAGTAGAGCAAATTTTGGTACATCTGGGGGAAAAGAGAAGCCAATTTAACAGGGTGAAAATGTGAAACAGACCCTTACTGAATATCCATACCTATCTATTTCTGCAGAACTTACTCCAGAACTTGACACACTCTCCGACACTGAACTCTGACTATCCTTCTTGGTTGGTTCCAATCCATTCTTTATGTCATCAAAATTTTCATACTTGAGAGCCTGGACCAGCTGCAATAAATACATTAACAAATCCTGAAAAACAAACAACAGGCAAATATTAGAAAAGCAAAAACAAAACACAAATACAACTTATTCCTGAACACTATGCTAACATTTTATGTTTATTTACTACTCTCCAGCTATTTTACCTTTAACACATTACTAAGTTACTTAACTCCTCTTGGTGCCTCATGGCATTTTAAAATTGTATTTATTTATTTATTTGCTTATTTATTTATTTATTTTTGAGACAAGGTCTTGTTATGTAGCTTAGGTTGGCCTTGAACTCACTTAGGGCCATTCCAGGCTGGCCTTAAGCTCGTGGCCACCCTCCTGCCTCAGCTTCCCCCGTGCTGCAATTACAGGCACGTACCACCACACCTGGTACATTCTTACCTACAAAAGGAATATAGTAGTGTAAAACTTAGGTGAAGTCATGAGCATTAAGTCAGTTAACACGAGAAAATTACAAAAGAATATGTGGCACATAATTAAGTGGCTGTCCAGTCACTGGTCTAATGTAGCGGTATCTGAAAAGCTAAAATACCAAAACCAAAAAAACAACTGCACTGTAGGAGGATGGAGATAGTTTGTATAGCACTTAGGAATTAAAGAAAGATCCTTCTCTGCAACCACCAAATCAGATAAATACATTCTACAAGGTGATCAAAGCATACAGCGGGTATTTAAATATAATATTGACTACAGTGTATTTAAACATAAAAAATTAATTACATTCTTATGAGTCCCCTCAAAGAACCCTCTCTTTCTTCGAACACACTTATCCTGTAGTCTTTGCCATTTTCTGAAGCAGCTCTGAAGCCCTCTTTTGTGAACAGGTGATCGAGAAATGTGCACGCTGCTGCCACGTGCCACCAACAGAAAGTGGGCTCCACTCGGGGAGATATCAGCGTGTCCTCCTCCGCCTCACTCACCAGATCTGAAATGAGAGACTGCTGCCTCCGCCTCTGCCTCAACATCAGAATGACCATGCGAGGCAGACAGTCAGGTAGAACCAACGCAGGACATGAAGGCAGCCACAACCGTGCGACTGAGTACACTCAAGTGGTAAGTGTGTGTGAGGTCAGGAGGAGTATTTTAAGGGAATTAATGGCAACGCTGCAATAAACTTTTTCCCCTAAAAATTCAGTTATTTTTTCAATCACATCTTGTATGCTTAAGATAATTACATGAGACATCAAATTTTCAAACTTTAAAAGCATTGCTATTTCATGATCTTTCCTGGTTAGGGTTTTTTTTTAAGCTTTTGCCTTTTTTTCCGTGAAAGCTCGCTTTTAGAGAACCTTGAGTGCTTCTTAAATGGAAGACCCTGTAAAACAGACCTTTGGACACTTTTAAGGAAATGCTAACTTCCGCCCACTACCAAAAGACCGGCTAAGGAAATAAATGGCTGAAGCTAAATTGTCCATACTTTTGACAGTCAGTGAGATAATTAGGACTAAAAGGGTATCAACAACATAGCTTGTACTTTTCTGAGTATTTTCTGAGTGTAAAAACTGAGGTAATGACGAAAATGTTTCCTGTATTACTTTATAAATGGAGTTGTTCACAAGTACTATGAAGGGAATGCTAGCAAATTTACTCAAAAATAATTAAAAACTGAATAAACTTGCAAAATATAAAATTTTAAGAAATGTATCAGTTATCTTCCAATTCCAACTGCTGTTTACCTAGTGATAGCCCATGAAACTCAAGATTAGGGAATTTAGAGAAGTGAGATTAAAAGCTCAACTTCCACCTCCTCTATTAGTCCATAAGCCACATGCAATGTCCCCTGAATACTTCATGGCCTGTGCTTTTCTTCCCTGTCCAGAGAATCTACGGTATCCACCATCACTTGCTTATCTGCACTGTCATTTCTACTGTTCCAAACTCTATGAGGACCGAGACAACTTCGCAGCAACTTGTTTTCTCTTACTGAATTTGGCATTTCTTTTTTTTTTTTTTTCAAAATTTTAATCTTACCTCAACATTAAAAGTTTTAATCATTAAGCAAACAAAGATTACTGCACATGATTTTATCATGAACTAGCTAAACATGATTAATTCTTATTCACACATATCAGTGTCAGTGATCAGGAAAATCAAGTGCTCTTCATGCAAGCACTTTTTTTTGGTGCTGGGAATTGAACTCAGGACCTTGCACTTTCCAGGCAGGCACTTGTGCCGCTGAGCTAGATCCCCAGGCCCTGACAAAACTTTTATAGTATTTCGTTTCTAAAAAATTTTTAACTGGAGCAATAAACATTATTAACATATTTGAGATTTATGGCATTCAATCTCCGTAAGCTTTTTTTCCCTCAGAAAAATAGTATGTCACATAACGAAAGGTGATCAATATTAATGATATTAATGATAAGTATCTTTCTCTGGAGATGTAATTCGGTTTTACTGCTAGTCTTCATTACCAACTGCTAAATGTGTCAGCTGTGTGTTTTCTCAAGCACAGAAAAGATTTAATCTTTTATCAAATCACAAAGGCTGCAATATCATTACATTCCCAGGAAGGGGAAATTTTAAAAAAAGGTTTCCATTTTAAAAGTCATTTATTATCACTATCTGATTTTCTTGGTCACCTGGTGTTCTATATTTCAACTGCTGTACACTTCTCTTCAATTGTACGAAAATTAGTAACAATAGTAAGAAGAAAGCCTGATTTCTCATTATATAGTCATATCTCAGAAAACATAAAATTCCTCCAAGCATGAAGGACAAAAGTATACGAGTAAAAGAAAGAAAAAAAAAAAAATATATATATATATGTATAGACTCATTTCTAGCTCAGATATTCAGTAAAACTTTTCCCCAAGAGCCATGAAATTTTAGAGATCGTGATCACCACTTTTCTTAAGAATAAATCAATTCTAATGCTTCAAAGTGCAAATGCAAAGCCCCATGCTAAAATCCCTTCCTGACTTCCCATTTCTTACTGAATTAAACGTAACTTCTCATATAGACATGCTCAGTTAAGAGACATGGATTTGTGAAGAGCTACAAATACACCAAACTCGTGTTAAAGTAAAATAGTTTCTGTTATTTTTGTACTTTTCAATTTCCTTGCTTTTGTTCTTATTGTTCTCTACTTGGGATACAAACTCGTTTAAAAAGTCAACATTTCATTCATATCTCTCTCCAAAACCATTCCTCACAGTCTTACTTTTAATTAACAAAAATAAATAATAAGAAATGTGAACTAGTTCAAATAGCAAACAATATAATTGCCAGAGAATAAATCTAATTTTTAAAAATGTAACGAGTTTTCATAAAATTAAGATGTGAATGAATAAATCATGCTGCTGAGGGAGGAGGCTCACTACCAGTAAGGTGTAAGTCTTTTATTTTGGGGGCTACCAGGAATCAAACTCAAGACCTTATGCTTGCCAGGCAGGTACTGCGTCACTGAGCTAAATCCCTGGCCCAAGTGTAAGTCTTTTTAACGCAAGATTTTTGTACAGTTAAAGTGATAATATTAAATTTTAAGGAAAGACTAAGTACAAAAATTATACATTGTGAAAAAAAGTATTTTTCTAACCATACATTACGAAGCAATTTCAGTTTTTTTAACATATGATACTAGCACAATTGCAGATTTACAACTACCAGCAAATGCAAAAAACACGTTTCTTTTGTCCCAGTAATTCCAACACAAGCTATACATTCAAAATTATGAGAAATATGCAAAAACATACAAATCTCCTCATTAAAATGTAATTAGAGCAAAAGACTAGAAATAATTCCCTATCTGAAGATGCTTACTGCTTAAGTATATTATAAAATAAACTCACAGTAGAGCATTACATCGCTGTTTAAAAAACATAAGAAACATCGACAATAACAAGGTTTAGAATAAATTATACCAAAACACACCACCTTAGCATTCAAATATTTTAAGTCATATATTTGAGTAGAACTCATATTAAGTTTGAGAAACCGCGGGTCATAAATGGCTCTGTGCCCTCCTCTGAATTAGGTTCTAAGACCTTCATGCACGAGGCCACTACCGCAGCAGACAGAGACACTGAGCAGAGCAGGCAGAACAGCTTGCCCGGTCCAGCTCCCCACTCAGACAAAACTCGTGCCTCCTTTGTCCTATCACGCTGGCCTTGACTTTCTAGTCTTCACCAAATCTAGGAAAACTCGCTCTTTCTGAAGTCTTTATTTCCTTAGGAAGATGCCCAGGCCATGCAGTGTTTATGTGGAATAATTTTCCTTTTTATTATTTTTCCTAGAGCCCTGAGAACCTAGCATAAGAGGAAAAAGATATCCATAAAGTCCAGAATGTAGTACTGTTTATTTATTTTTTCAAATTTTAAAGAGAAAAAAAACAATAAAAACATGGTAACAGGAGAATAACAATTATTAATATATTGTGTATTGTTATCTTCAAGGTATTTGCTCAGATTATAAGATATAGGCATGAAAAATTATAAGTATAAACCATTCTTTTTAAAGAACAGAAATTAGTAATATGATTATCTTAGCTATTTTGTGTATATATCTGTATGTGTATATATATGTGTAGATATTTTATATATATATATATTTTCCATTCCTTCTTTTCACCTTTTCCTCACCTCAATTGTTCTTTCCTTTTGAGCAGTTTCTTCCCCTTTCACAGTATTTATTGTACGTTTGTTTTTAACAGACTAAATATACATCCTTAACTACATGGTGGGTATTCATTTGCTTATGTTTCCTCACTTTATAGCCAGTGTGGGTGTGGGGAGAAAGAGAGAGAAAGAGATGCCAAAAAAAGTATATATCAGGAAAAGAAAACTTGCAGAAAATATTTTAATACTAAATTTATTGAGACTCCTTGAGATTAATACAAGTTACCTTTGCCCTCTACAATTACAAGAGGTGCTCAAAGTGGTGGCCATTAGCTTCCAGACATTTATTAGTACAGTGAACTGATGAACTGTGTGTACATTTTCTCTCTCCATACACACACACACACACACACACACACACTGATACTGAGAAACTACACTTTAGTTACTAAGGCCAGTTTTTAATAGCATACTCTCATTTATACTCATTTTTCAAAACAAGAGGTATATACACTACCCGAGATACTGTGATATGGGAAATACATTTGGTCTTCGTCCTTGGTTCCTGGCACGATCCTTAAAGTTTGCAACTGCCTAAGTGGTAAGAATCACTAAGGTGAAAGAGAGTAACAAGCCCCCTTCAAAAGCCTGAGTTTATACATTAATGAGGTAACTTTTGGGAAGTCCCTAAGGATGTGTGCTGGTTCCCGATGGAACCAGTCCGGTGATTAAAGGGTTGCAATTTTATTTATTTATTTATTTTTGGTTTCTTTCAGACAAGGTCTCACTTTGTAGAGCAGGCTGACCTTGAACTCATTATGTAGCCCAGGCTGGCCTTGAATGTGGGGATCTTCCTGCCTCAGCTTCCCAAGTACTAGGATTACAGGTGTGCTCCACCACGCCTGGCTGGGGTTGCAACTTTAATCTCATTCCCTAAGATCTAGGGACAGAGACCAAAGAATGACTTAATTATCACTGGTTGATTTCACCAATCATAACTATCAACAGAACCTCTAATTAATAGCCAGTTAGTCAGAAATCAGAGTGATGACTCAAACAAATCTACGGGGAGGTGGAATGTGATAGACTGACAACTGCTGCAGACAGGTGAATTATATTTGAAGGTTCACTATACTATTCATGTTATTGTTTAAAATTTACTAACTGCACACAAATACCAACTTTAGTTAAACGCTTCATTTACTTCTTGAAATTCGGATGCCACTAATTCAAAAGGATTGCACTGTTTTGTTTTGTTATTTGAAAATCAACGATAACAGGTGTCTCAGGTATTTATATGCCTATGGAGGTTTTAGAAAAATTAAGAAACTGCGCAATTAACCTAATTCATTAGGAATTAATAAAACTCAAAATCTATTTATGCTTTGTGTCAACACTGCTTCTCCTTCCTGATGGTCTCACAGGTACATAAATATCAGCATAAAATCTGCAGTCCTTGCATTCCACAGCAGTCGAGACCACCTTTGGAAAAGCTACATGTTCACACAGTTGTCAGCTGCTCCAAGTTTAAAGGAGGAGCGTGAATGAAGGAGGATAAGAGGACCATGCATCTCCGTGCTTTAACGGCCCCAAGGGTTTTGCAAGGCTACAATTAAACGTGGCTTGTTGTATACTGACTGATAGAGGGGATCTGAATTATTCCCTAGATGGTGCTGCATTAAACCATTTTTCATTAGAATTCCTTTTTCCAGACAGAGCAATACAAGCTCTGCTGCCAGGTAAATGTCCTGGGAGAGACTGTCCTATCACGTAATGGATCAGGAAGTAAATTTTCATTTCACAGAGGAGTCCTTGGAGGAATATTTTAATTTTACTTCTGAAAACACATGTAGTATATCCTCTTCCCGTCTCACAGTGTCCCTTGTGCACGCTCTTGCATGTTCTCCGTCCACCTTCCTCCCCCACACAGTCTATAATTAGGCTCTTCTTTAAAATGTGCACCAACATACCTCATCATCCGCCTGGCGCAACCGGGCCACAGCGTAACGCCTCACTGTGGGGTTGGTGTAATGAGAGGATAACAGTTCCAAGGAATCTTCAACGTCCATTGGCTTCCATTTTCCTAGAAGTTCCAATGCCTGCTTGGCCTCCTGAGGTAGATCCCAATTAACACATTTCAGGAATTTTGTCAAAGCCTAAAGTTAGAGGAAAAAAGACCACACAATTATTTTTAACTAGGAACAATGTCCTGTTGCCAGGGATAGGAAAGATCAAGAGCAACCAGGCAGAACTGTACTTGGTTCTGATGGCTGAGTCACAAAGTTAATAAGACTCCCAGTGTAAAAACTAAATGTAGTTATACATATGACCCCATCAAAACACTGAAGAGGACACAAACTTGTTCCCTGTAACTTTATATTTTCCAGGCCAAAAATTTTGCAAAGCAGGATCAAGTTTTACACTATTATTGCTTTTATTCGTTTTGCTTGTTTGAAAATACTGCAGCCCTCATAACATGAAAACAGCTGAGACATGCCTCATGACCTCTAAGATCCCTTGGAAATAATTCGTTTTATAGCATCTGCACTGTGTCACAAATACTGCACACAAGCCAAGGTAGAAATGGCCACCACTAGCCTGACTCTCAATCTCCTCCCTGGGATGTGATCACTGTCTTCCCTGCACACTCACACTCAAGCACCAAAACGGGGGGAAGTACTGTATGCCTCCCCGAGAAGCAACCACTTCAGAAGAAAAGGGCAATCAAACAAAGCTCAATGACAGCACAAAAATGGTCAAGTATAGAAGCAGTAACACAGGTAATAGGACACAGGGAATAGAGCTTTTGGAAATGAGAAGAGGACCGAGAGAAGAGGAGCAACAGATGGCAGGGTGGAGGAAGTAGACTGGAAGGGATCAAAGACTTAAGATGTGTTATGTACAACTACCAATGCCCGCGATGAATGCAATCATTCTGTACCGCAAATATGTACTAATACAATTTTTAAAATTTTATATAGTAACAAATAGCCTGATTAGGCTGACTCTAGCATCTTAGTGAATGATTACTTTGACAAGAGACTGAAGCTTTCACATCACGTCTGTTAAGTAGATTATCCTGCGTATAACACTCATGGCTACACAAATAATAAATGCGCCTGCAAGGAGCAGATGCATTTATTTTTCATTGGGTAAAATCCACCGCCAATTCTCTTTATTGGCAGCACTTTCATGGCAGAACCAAAAACATTTTCCTCTTTTCCTTCCTCTTGCGAATCATCTTTTAAACAGTCATAAATTTAAAACTATAAATTCCTGATTTTACCCAACTAAAATCTTTTCATTAGTAAACTAATTAGGTTCTCAGATAAAAGTCTACTTCCACAAAATCAATTTTTGGTCATTGTGAAATAAAATGAACCTTCAAAGAGCCTCAATACGAGTTTTTCCTCCAAACTGTTAGAATCTCAAATTGTAAAGTGAACTCAGCACACATCTATTGTTAGCAGAAATTTACCATGTGACCTCCTTGCCAAACAGAGACCCAGTATTTAATCAATTCCAGTGAATAATTTGAAACTACCCGTAACATTTATGTGCCAGTATACCACTTCTGCTTTGTATTTAAAGTATAAGAGGGCAAAAAACAAAATGTCTTTATGTAACTTCTTCTTACTGGTCAGTTTCACTCTATGAAAGGAGAACAATTTAACCCCATATTAGATAGACAACCTTTCCAGCATTTGAAGATGACTGCCACAACTTTATAATGTGCTTTCACAAAGATGACAGTCACTAATTTGTCAAGAAATAAGTATATTTCAAAAAAACTCTCGCTTCTTCTCAAAGCACCTGACTGATACTTCTCACCACAGTCCAAAGCTCAGCTTCATAAACTCCCACCGCCATTCTACGGTGAGAGAAGTTAACCTATTTCTCGCATGACGCTCGGTCCACAGCCCTTCCCTACGTTCTTCAGCAACACAGTGGCATCTTCTTAAGGTCACCTTGTCAAAAACCTAAATTTTTCCAGAAGTTTTAAGCAATTTAAGCTCTTTCTTTAGTAGTTGGCTCAGCTGTACACTGGGGTTAAAATAATGTTCTTCTAACTGCCGACTGCTTTCATGGCCTTGCTATCTCTACAGCTGGAGCCTGGCTCCCCCAGACAGCCGTACTTGTGCACACCACCGTCATACCATTGGTATGACGCTCCCTGTCCTCACACAGGGGAGATCATCCCACTAACACTCCGTGCATTCACTTTTCATTTCTAAAATGCATTTCTAGGTCAAATGTGGAAACAAAGTAACACTTATTTTTTAAGTAAGTATAATGAAAGCTTTTCCATTTCACAGTACATCTGCAGTCTTAACAGAAAAGTGCAGGTATGTACTTATAAGCAAATCTTGCAGCACACCAATGTACTCAGCAATAACTGGAACAGTCTAACTACTTGATTCTCAGATTTATAGTCTATTAATAGGATTTATAGAGCATGCTGTTGACTAGGAATTTAAGGCACTGCACAAAAACTCTCCCAGCTTTACAAGGCTAATAAATGTTACAAAGGTAAGGGAACAGAATGAAGGGAACAAGAAAAGAATGAGCAAGTGTAAGGATTTGAAGATGGTAATAATGATGATGATATTTAACCCCAGGTCTTTGATAATCCATGTAAAGACACAGGATTCTGATGAAATTTTATTTCTGCAGCTTCAGAGTCAGTTCATTTGGGTTCAAATCCTAGTTCTTGGCTCCTTCAATTACTAGCCAAGTCACCTAGAGCACATTACTTAACTTTCAAAACACCTACCTCATCGGATTATGGTGAAGATTAAGTAAGTTAGTGAAGGTAAAATACTTAAAACAGCATCTTATGAGTAATACTTGGTGTTACTTTATTATCAGTTGTTATTGTTGGTACTCTAATATGCTGACACTAGCATCAAATGTTAATCTTACTGCATTTATTACCACATTTTATCAATAAAAATATTTTATTTCTTTCTTCCTACATTACAAAGATTTCCTAGAAAAACAATCACTGTCACTTCAATGCTAAAAAGCCAGTATTTATCATAAACATGTGTACTTTTAGTTGTAATTTCTACATAGCTCAATTACTGCGAATTTCTATTGTGCTGCTCTTCTAATACTTTCAATTCAAAATAATAAAAAATGAGAACATCTCCACCCCGTGCTCTTCCCATTTTTCATATCCCCTTATTTCCAGGATTTAGGCCTAACCTCCGACAACTTAAACATCTTCCTCCCTCCACACCACCCTGCTCTCCAACACTGCTCTATAAATTAGTACGTGACTGTGGTGGATTGACAAGTGGTGGCCAACGTTTAACCCCCAGCTGAACTGAGTAAGCGTGGTGCTGGGTGTGGGAGGCCCACCAGAAGATTGTTGCCAGTACCGTAACAGGCAGAAATGGAGACGAAGATGGCTGTTGAGAGCTGGTAGAAGCTGTAAGGAGCTGTTGGTTGTTTTAGAGGAGCTTGTCATGTTGGCTTTCCTGATGAACTGGCTGTTTTCATCCTTTGAGGAGCTCAGAACCTTGTTGGCATGGAGAATGGCTTTGGTTCACTTTGGGCGAGCTCTGGTCCTCACCTTGAGCGTCGCTTCCTGGCTCCGGAGAGGAAGATGGTGCACTACTTAGTCTCCTGGAGAAGCTTGTCGTGTTGACTTCCCTGATGGGAATTCGGCTTTCCTGATGATCGGAGGAGCTCGGGACCTCACTGTTGTTGAGGATGGCTGCGGTACTTTTAGGGGGAGCTCTGGTTCTTACTTTGTGCATCGCTTCCTGGCTCTGCATAGATCCCTCAGCTTGCTAGCACAAATCCTTCATCCCACTGGAACAAACTTTCTAGATTCCACCACTGATCTTTGGGCCTTCGCAACGCAGATCCGTGAAACAGGCCCACATCAGATGCTGTCGTGGGCTCTTGGCCTGCAGCTGGATTCGTGGGAGGCATTGTTACAGGCTCTCGGTCTTCAGCTGGACTCATGCAGGACATTATCATGGGATCCAGGCCCTCTGCTGGATTCCTTGGTCTCTAGTGTGTGGACAGATTTCCTGCACTCTTTTGTATATCGTTCTTTGGGTGACTATTATAAATAATCTTATAAAATATGTGTCCTGTATTACACTGTTCCCCTTGCAAAAAACCCCAAACCGTAACAGTGGCCCTCCTTAGAAAGGTCTGTTTTTTTAACTGCTCCAGTACACTCAGTTTGTCTTCCTACAAGTGGTTTCCTGTTACCAGTGAAATCTAATTCCACAGATAGAATTCAAAGCCCACCTGATGCCATTTTTCTTTAAATAACCTTTCAAAGTTTGCTTTTTCCTAAACCTAACAACCTGCCTTACTCATGCTTTTATTTCCCATAAAAATTGATCAATAGTAACAGTATTAGAACATGCTTACAGCTAAGTCCATTCCTGTGACACTGCCCTCACAGCACAGCACCCTGACCTTGTCATCCTTCATCCTTCTATTATAGTAAAAGTGTTTACTAAACAGTGACCCTTAATCAATTACTATCTCACACTTCGTTTCGACTGTGTCTGAATATACTTTGCCTGAAAAAATTTACTTTATATACATCATACACAGACATGATACCTACAGCCCTGTATAAAGCTAGGCCAAGAGTTAATAATAAATACTCAGTGAACTAAATTCACTTTTTTCTATTGTTCACCATCAACTTCTTACTCGGAACCACAAATATGATTATTGTCCCAATGTCTCTGCCTCGAAAGCCGCCTCAGAAGAAAATTTAGTACATTACCATTATCTTTACTATATGTAACTTACTTTCCCCACCAAATATAATACAAAGACAGAGCTATTACATTAACTCATTATTTCTAATTAATATTTCTAAAGAAAGGCTACCATGAAAGCTATCTGAAAAACTGTGATATTTGCATCTTGGGTTCTGAAAAATGATGTACTTCCTATCCACTGTGGACCACAAATTTAAATCTACTTCATAAATTTAAATAGTTTTATTAGACAACATTATTCCTGCGTGTGTGACCTCTGGGGGAGTGCACCACCAAGTCTAGACTAGTGATTTTCAAACACAGATTTTAAAAAAAGCTCAAATTTAATTAAAAATTTAAAAGTACATCTTTGCAAAAGCCAACTTCCTCCAATTTGTTTTCTGAGCAATGCCTTATCTCTGGGAAGGCTTTTCAGTCACAGGGCTCAAAACGTATATAAATTAAATGACAATTTTTGAGAACCTGATGTTGAAAGAATTTAAATAAATGAACAGGTAGTATATAGCAGTATTTGTTTTTCACAAAACCCATTTTACATTATCACAAATGTTGCTGTGTGAATAACTGCTCTGGTCACTTCAGGCCAATATATATTTATTTGGTTTACTCAGAAGTGCTTCCTGAACATTAAAAAATATCGTTCACTCTACTCTAGTGATTGTAAGAATCTCATTATACGTCCTGAAAATTGAAGTTTCATGGCCCACCTTTCGAAAACTTGAAGTCAACTAGTTAAATGAAACTTGTCACACACTTTATATCACTTGAGCATTTTATTTCTTTTGCACATATCTAGAAGTAATTGGATTTCAGTGGAAAGTGACTACTTGTTTAAACAAACAATTTTTCTTGCAAGCTTTTCTATCTAAGGAAGTTCTGCTCCATAAATCTATTCTATGCTTCTTGAACCTATACATCCTAACTGGTTTAATTCAATATCTTGCTGTGTGTATTTTAGATGACACTGTGCTGAATTCAAGGTGTAATTTCTGTGACCAAGGTTATCCCTCATTTAACACAGGATCATGATACTAATGCAATCTTCACAGAACACAAAGTCACAAACCTGGGTTTCTGCTGAGGAATATTTCCTTTTGCTCAGAGATGAAGAAAACAACACTCAAAGCTAAAATAAATATAAAATTCCTCTGTCATTATTATTATGGATAAGAGAAGAATGAATACGATTCATCTATAGAGAGTTTCCTGGGGCTCTGACAAATGATAAAGAGGAAAAGCTGGAGTTAAGGTGTAACCAATTTTTATCTTTAGAAACAAAAGAAAAACAAATTAAAACAAAGTAAAGACTAAATATCCTGTAAAATATGTTAACCCATTTTGACATAATCATATAACAGCTTCCTGACAGATGGTAATTTTCCAACGCTTCTCTGCTCTCCCCTCATGCATTCCCGAATCCGCTACGGAAGGCAGACACATGATGCTGCCACTGCCTTTCTACCATTTCCCTTTCCTATGTCTTCACTGACTCCCTGGCCTTTTAGTCCTCAACGCAAGCAGATCATGAGGCACCTGTAAGCTTTGGGATTCTGCAAAAGTTCCATAATCTCTCTAAGGCACTGTTATGGTTGATACATTGTGTCAACTTGGGGAATCTAGAGGTTTGGCTAAGTGACTCAGCGGGAAGCCAGGGTGCTTACTTTGTAGATATCCTGAGCCTGTGGAAGAGGAGGGCATGGAGATTATGTGAGAGCTACACACCCCTTAGGTGGGGGTAGCCTGTTTACAAAGTAAGGCAGGGAAAGAAGCTGCTTGCCGCCATTCCTCTGGTTTGCTCTGGCTGTTTGCTGTTCGGCTGCCATTCCCCCCTTTGCTCTTGTTGCTTTGCTATCTTCTGCCTCAGAGCCAGCCAAGTATGGACTGAAACCTCCACAAACTGTAAGCTAAATAAACCTTTCCTTCCTTCATTTTGGGCGTTGGGTATTTTGTCTCAGCAACGAGAGAAAAGTAACCAAGACAGGCACATACTGTCAGTAATACACACACTGTGGGGCTACTGTGGGATTTAAAAGAACCCTAGCATGCAAGAGTTATTTAATAAATCTGGCTATTATTTTATACTTTTTATACTAAAAGAGTTAATCCTTGACTCTGTCCTAAGACTTTACAGATTATTTTCAGAACCAGAAAAGATATAAAATCACTATCATACAGTCGTCTCTAATTAAACATGAGGAAATTAAAGCTTAGCTAGATGAAGTAATTTGCCTGTTGTCAAAAGGTTCTTAGTGAGACTCAAAACCAGGCCACCACATCTAGGTTAGTGTTGTTGACTTTACCACAATTCTCTCTCCAGAAATTCTATCCACTCAAGACTTTATCATGAAAAGCCGGCCCTAGTTCTCACCCAGGCTTTATCCTGTGTGCTAAGCTGTACGCGACTCCCCTGCCTCACCCTCCTCATTCTCCCTGTACTCGCCACTCTCTCAGCCCAGACACACTTCCTACAGCACTTCCTGCAGCTCCTTCCATGGTGTAAGTATTGTCCTAATCACCCAGGTTCAACGAACAAGATAAAAGAAAATCAACATCTATTTTCAGTTAGATGCACCAGGCACTTTACTGATATTCTCTCACCTGTGAAAGCAAGGTGTCCTCACTAGAATAATGAGCAAGATAATCTGCCTTACTCTACTAACAGACAGACTCAGTAGTGTCAGAAACCAAACCCAAGTCTCTGGCTTGAAAATCCACTTAGATATTATCCATGCATCAACAAATAGGAACGCGTGTCTTTGAGTACATACTTTTTTAATTTTTTAAAAATGTAGTAATACATATAGGCTCTATAACATTTTTTAGTTTGACAATAATTCCATTTCCATGGCAATTTTACCTTATCTTGATCATTAGTTGCAGTTTGTACATAATTTTGACATAAATATGTAAATATTTAAGAAACTCACTTTTTCTTGATTAGTAAGATAATATCTGAATTTCCAAACAAGATCTTGTTCTTCATAGGTTAGTTGCTTAGTTGGTGGATAACTCACAATAATCTACAACAAACAAGAAAAAGAAGTATTTTTATCAACTACTTACTTACTATATACTTCTACTGCATTTAATTTTTTTGCCTATTTAACTCTACTAACAAAGAAGGTATATTCAGCCAAGTAAGATTTAAATTTTCTGTACCATCCAAAATGTGTATCATTAGGATATAAAGTGGGGCGGGGGGTGGCTGAGACAGTCATACTCTGTATTAAAGTGTGTAACTATATTAGTTGGCATGGTAGTGCACGCCTGTAATCCCAGCACTTGGGAGACTGAGGCAGGAAGGTCACCATGAGTTTAAGGCTAGCTGTCGTTACATAGAGAGTTCAAGGCCAGCATGAACTACATAACAAGATCCTGTTTCAAAGAAATAAAAGTGCATTATTAACTACAGAGTTCATTTAATTCAACTAAAAATAAAACAAATCATGCCCTCCCCCACGAAAAAAGGAAAAACTGAAACAAACCCTTGTCTTGTGAAATCAAGACACACAATGCACATTTACACTCCAGTTCCTCTCTTGGGCAAGGTCTGCGCAGCGGTGGTGAACCTGTGGCATGTGTGCTACACACGGAGCCCTCTCTGTCAGCACGTGAGCCACGTCGTCCCAGAAGCCAAGTATTGGATAACAGTTGTTTTTTCTAAACTAAAACCTCAGTATTCAGGCTTAACTGCAGTGTTGCAATAACTAAGAGGGTTTTGCATTGCACTTGGGCACTCAGTCTCTACAAGGTTTGCCATCACTGTCTTAGGGCCGTATTCTAAGAACACTATCACAAAAGTACAAACTACACATAACTCTGTCTCTAGAGCTAATACACTTACTGAAAATTCCCACTTAAAAAAAATGCCTGATATGATATGCTTTGGATCAAAAATGTCCCTCAAAAGGCTCACGTGTTCAGGTGGTGCTTCTGGAAGGCAATTAGACCATGGGGCGCCATCCTCATCCGTGTCATTACTGAGTGGGCCTCACTGAAGGAAGCAGGCCTCTAGGGGCTGCCCTGAAAGCTGTACCGCTTCTCAAGCTCTTCCCTTTGGTCTTCGCTTTCTGGCTACCTAGACTGGCTAGACTGTCTGAGGCCAGCCAAAACTACACAGTGAGATCTTATCTCATCCCCACCCAAAGAGAATTACAATATTCTGTATATGGATATATGACTACCAGAAACAGAATGCTATAATAACTGAAATGATGCCTTTTGTTTCCAAAAACTCTGGATATATTAGAGTGGTGCAAAAATAAAAGCAAGATGTTTCATGCCAAACTTTGGGGCTAAGGTTAAAAGTATAATTCATGAGTTATCTTGGGGTAAATGTTCTCAGTGCTGACAGCAAGTATTGTTTGACAAAAAGGGAAATGGACTAAGTTACACGTGTCAGGTATTTTGTACCAGTAACAGGAGGTAACTAACACATGCAGATGTAACACTGTTGAAATTATGTAGTGGATTACCCTGAAAAAATGTGTATCTGAATAGTAGAAAGAAAAAAGTTATCTAAATCATTTTTAAACTGTTATCAGTTATAACCAAAATATCCATTAATTATTTTTGCATTTGTGATTTATAAATACTCTTACATTTAGCTGATCTCTGGTGGCAGCATTGGGTTTGAGATCATGGTCAGATGGTCCGCTTCTTAAACTCCGGGCAAGCTTATGATGTTTGCTCTCAACTAAATTCTCCTGTAAATCATTTAAAAATATTGAGAGTATAAATGTCACCACAAACAAAAAAATCCTTCAGTAGCTAGTCAGAAATAGAAAAGTAAACAGTTACCTACCCAGAACTATTTTCTTATAATACTTATGATTTTATCCTGGTACAACTTTATTGCCCTATGTACCTGTAAAAATAGGTATGCACTGTGAGTGGGGAGCTTAGTATGACTTAAGCTCCATGAGGTGCTGTAGGACGCACAGGCCATCCCAGTGGCTTGAAACAGCTGCCTCCCACTCCCTACACATTCAAGATGCTCCCCTTGCTCTGTTCCTCAACCCAGACTACAGCATTCCCTCCTCCCCAGCTACAGGAGGCCTTGTGACACCGCTCTTCTGTCATCGTAGCAATTATGTACACTCGGTTTCAGACAGCGGGAACACTGACCCCGGCCAGGGAAGACCCACTGTTGGTAGTTTTATCCACGGCCAACATCGTTACTTCTTGCCATGCTATCACTGCTTAAGACAATACAGTACCTCTACATGCTTATTTTTATCTTAATTTTCAAAAATATTTTATTAGTTGGTTGTATGTGTGAATTCTCTTCATGTCTTTTTGTAATTTTTGATTTCTGATCCTTTGTCCTTGAACTTTAAGAGTAAAAGCTGGGCTGGGGATGTAGTCAATGGTATACCTAAAATGCAGCCTAACAAAAAAATTAGCAGCCAGGTGTGACAGCACATGCTTGCAATCCCAGCACTCAGGAGGTTGAGGCAGGAGGATCATTGTGAGTTCGAGGCCATCCTGGGCTACAAAGCCTGAACCGCATAGTGACACCCCACCTCAAAAAGACAAAAAGTAAAGAAAAAAAATAAAAAGCATTCTTTACATACCAGCCTTTTGCTGAATAGCTGTAATAGCTATAAGAATGTTCCTTATTTTATAACAGCCTTGACCTCCCTTAAATTTTTATTCATTCCATTTGTCTAATCCTAATTATACAATTTTTTTTTCTACAGCATAATAACCTTTTAGATAGTATGCTTCTAAAAATCCTCATATTAACAATTCAAATAAAATGGTTGCCCAACACCATATGATGCTGATATTATTGGTAAGATGTTGTTATGGCCATGTCTGGATGTCCCCCAAAGCCTCATGCAGTCATAGGTGGGGCTTTTCTGAGATGGCTGGATCTAGGGTGTGTGATGCTAGGATCAAGGATGTGATGCTAGGATTAAGGGTGTGAGTGCTGCCTGCCCTAAGGGTGGGGTAGCCTGGATAAGATACAAGGGACAGAAAGAGTATTGTTGCTTGCTACCTTCTGCCTGCCTGCTCTGCTCTGCCCCTCTGCCATGCCACCCTGGCTTGGAGCCTGCTGAATATGAATTGAAACTTCTATAAACTGTGCACCAAATAAGCCTTTCCTCCTTTTCCTTTAACTTTGGGTGGCAGGTATTTTGTCTCAGCAACGAGAGAAAGGGAACCAAGACAGATGTCAATTTTCCTTGGAAAATTTCCACCTGAACCTCATTCCAGATAACTGCTATAACTCATTTCTAGATAACTAAAAAGGCTTTTTTAATAAAATGCATTGTGTGGATCTACGTCAAAACTATTCTGAAGAAAGTGTTTTCAAAAAAAAAAGTTTGCTACTAACTTACCATAGACATTTGAGGGTCGGGAACTTTCACTAACTCAAAGCTTGTTAAAATTGGAGATGACTCATCACCATCCTGGAGTATAATGTAGTTAAAAGCAAAATAAACAGATGTAAACTTTAACTGAATGATATGAAACAATACACAGTATTATAGACTTTAAATATTTTAATTCTGTTTAATATTCCACCATTTAACAAATTCTTATCCTCTTTCAATTACATATTAATTTTTTATAACTTTCAATACCGATAAAAGGTTTTGAACAAAGTAAGCTCTAACAAAAATTTACATTACGGTAGAGATATGAAGTCTAGAAATCAAATCTTTTTCACTTTCAGTTGTTCTTTGTTTTAAAGACTTCGCTTATTATAATAGTATATATTTTTAAAAAGTTCTAATGTTCAAACTTAGTACAAGAAACCACACAACATAATTAAAATATGTGAAAAGAGATCGTGTGTAATTTGCAAAGTCTATGTGAACCTTGATAATTGCAAAGTCCTGAAACTGAGACTGGGGCTTCTCTCAGTGGCACAGCAGTGACCTCGCCCAGGGGGAAAGGAGCTTTTCTCTTGGTCCTAAGTGTTGGCATCTGCAATCTGTCCAGTCTGGGGACTCAGCGCTGCCCTCGCATCTGTCCTACTTCATTCAGGAAGTGAGGCCCATTCAGTCTGGGCCAGAGAAAGGGGCGCTTTTAAAGGAGAAAGCAGAATGAAAACATATGGGTCTGGAAAGAGGCTAGACTATGCTCAAATGGAGTTGTCAGATGAGGAATTTCAATTCACTAAGAAAGCCAAAGAACAAGCAGCAGCGCCTGGGGAAGCGGGGAGGATCGGTTGAGGGACCCTGGCTGGGCAGATTAGCAGAGATGTGGAAGAGGGATTGGCTGACAGAGGGAAAACTGGAACCTGAAGTTCCAAAGATTCAGCCACTTCTTCCAACTGTGGGACACAAGGGGGGAGTTTCACCATCTAGCCCTTGATTTCCTTTTTCCATTATGTACATGGTGCCTGTTCGCAGCTGACCGGACTTACTGGCATACTTGCACTCCTGGGTGGCTCTGTTTTTGAAAGTGTTTTTTGAGATCTGGACTCACAAGAAACTCACCAGAAAAAAAGCACTATCCATGTAGGATTATACGCTTCCCAGTTAAAACCATCTCAAAGAACTCCTACATTTCTCTACCACGGCTGCCCATATTTATTTGGGAAGTTTCTGCCCCTTAGCTTGAGTCAGAAATGTGGGCATGTAAGCAGACAGCCTGTTACTTGTACCTTCTGGTTAGGAGTATATCTGGAAATCTAAGCTATGTGAAACCTGCTTTGCATTTTTGGTTGGAGTCAATCCTTCTAAATAAACGTATTTTTGATCCATGTAGGTGTGTATCAAGAAATAAAAAAGTTACACACCAAAAATTCAATCAAATCAAATAAAACTGAGATTCATTCAAAGGAGCAGAATTTTAAGTGTCTGGTTAAATGTTCCTCAAATTTATGCAATGGCTAGAGATATACCAATATCACTTCTCAGATAAACGATGCAATACAACTTTAAGTAAGAATAAATTAATTCTTAAGAAATAAAGAAATTATATTTTTGGTACTATCAGTTTTGAAGAATGTTGGCTTTTATTTTTATCCAATCAAGACAAGAAAGGTAATTCAGAATAATAAATGTCACTGCCAAACACACTGGAAAAGGCTAAACTAATTAAGGTCAAAATTCATTTCCTCACAATTATATACTGAGCATCAAGCTTTTCTATCAATTTCCAAATGCCAGTATGTTTTCAATTTTAGGTAAGTGCACAAAATCAGCAGAGAATGACAAAAGGGAAGCATTGTGAGTTTACGTTAGTTCAGTAATTGAGTCTTACAGAAAACCACAAATTCCCACAGCTGTTGTTTAACAGGCTTATTCTCAGTCCCAACACCAGAAAACACATTTATCAGCCCAGCTGTGACAAGTAATCTTCAGTAAGGCTATCTGTCACAAAAGGCAGGTGACAAGAAAGTCTATTTCCATTAGATTCAATACACTGGCCCAGCAATCCTTACACTAAGTGGAAATATGACAGGGTGCGTAGACAGGCATTAATTTATGAGCAATTTTCTGGAAGCAGTAGAAAGGGGTCAAGAACCTTTTCAAAAATACTTGAAATTCTTCTAATTTCTTTTCTGTTATTATTTTATCTGTCATCAAAGCTGTCTTTCAAAAGCTTCTTCACATCTCCAATGTTTAAGAGTACCACTTCTATTAGTATGTTTTTGCAATATAAGCTCCCTATGAACAGCAAAATTGCTTTTAATGAAATTTCATCTAACATAAAATGTAAACTATGATTTTATTGAAAGGTATTGGTGACAAAAAAATTCCACTCACATTTTTCTTTCTTTTTGATAGTTTCCTAATAAATTAATAAACAATGTTCTATCTTCTTATCTTTTTTTAACCAGGGAATATTATATATGAAAAGCTGAAACAATTTAACTTTCCCTACTTTTTCACTAAAAAGGATACAAGCTAATGGGAAAAATATGTATGTTGATTAGAAAATACTACAAAATCATTTGTAACTATTTAAACCTTAATCTTTTCAAATAGCAACCTATGGTTACAAAAGAAATATGCTAAAAATCACTTATGCCAGCTTTAACAAATGACAACTAATGAACAAATGCATTGCATACAAATGTATTTATATGCAAGAAATACTCATCTATTATGTAATGTATCAGAAGTCTATTTCACTTACATACTATTTCCAAGATAATAAAAGGTATTTGCTTATGAGGTTTTGATACATATACAACTAAGTCTGTATTATTTAAATAAAGGCTCTGTAAGGCAGGTCGTTTTAAAAAAGCTACCTACCAAATACAGAACTATTTTCTTTCTCCTAATAAGCAAACCACAGCAAATTTCTAACTGTAGATTTGTTACTGACTCAGTCTTGTAGCAACAGAATTTTCTTTCTTTTGCACGTGTTCATTAATAAAGTCTTTCATATGCATATTTATTCAGTGCCACATACAGAATTCAAACATATTTTATATATATTCAAATAACGAACATGCCCTTAACTTGGATAGCAACTTACCACTTCAAAATTAGGATTTTATATTATTTTTCAAATGAATAATAATTATAATAAATCTATTAGTGTCCTACTCACCAATCTACATAATAATTAAAAAGTTTTTAATCACTTGTGTACTTATTAAATTTTGTAACACAAAACTGCATTACATGAATGACTGGCTTTTGTAATCCTGTTTTAGCTGTAAGATTTGATTTGTGTACACATAAACAGCTGCCGCTGACAGCTGTCTGCTGCTATCCTACAACCAAATAATTCATCTCAGCAGGAACAACAGTAATTTTTTAAATGTTTCCCCTCCCCTCTACTTTAGAGACCATAAACAGTTCCAAGGAAAATACCTTTTCATAGTAAACAATACCATACTCCTTATCATCACACTTGACGCACCGAAATTCAACCATCAAGTACATGAAATTAGAACTACGCTTTTCACTCTGAAAAAAAAAAAAAAACCAAAAAATGATTATTTTCAACATTTTCTTAAAGGATCAGTATACACTGTTTTTCCCAATTCAGTAATACATGTACCCATGAAGCACCACTTGTAACACATTTCTTTCATTATATATACATACTATTTTATATAGTGCTATTATTTTATTATATATAGATGGCAGTAATATTTTATTACACAGTATCTGTTACTCAGATTTCCCTGGTAAAGCTTAATGAAATTTTTGGTTTATTCATAAGTTTGAAGCTTTACGTTACAAAATCTTCAAAGTATTTTGAATACATCTTCATGAGAAGATGTTTCATTTCAAAAATTAAAGCTGATGTTTTGTACTTAACGATTTTAGCAGACCTGTTCATCCTTAAAATGACTGAAGTCAAACCAAGTGTAAGATAACATCAAGAATTTTTTAAAATTATATAACTAAAGACAAGCGGCCTTTTAAATATAACTTTTACTAGTATTTCACAATTTATAAATGGTCTTAAGATAGTTCATCATTTGTAAATTTTTATCAGTTATACTGGGGATAGTTACTTCTTCCCTCAACATAAAAAGAAATTGATTCTTTATGTAAATGTGTATCCTAAGGGAGGGTAGGAGAATAGGAAAAAAAAAAAAGAAGAAAAGTTATATTATGTGCAGGTACAGGTACAAATTCTCTATGATGAATGTGATCATTACGTATATCCAAAATGTACCAATAAAATCTGACTGGAAAAAAAAATAAATGTGTGTCCTTCAAAAAAAAGCTGCTACTAGGGTAAAAGATGATGAAGTGAAAATACAATGATATCTACAGGAATGATCAGGCTTAGTCCTAAACAGCTTTATAAACAGCTTTAAATCTAATGAATGAAATCATAAAGACCTAAAGAGCTTACTTCAACTGTTCAGCTTTATAAAGCATATTACTGTCCATTGTGGCAATGTAATGGTTGTTACCTTTTAAAGAGTAGGTAGGGAGGGTGAGAAAAGCTGGACAAAGAAAGTACTGTCCCCAAATTACAGCTTCTGTACTCAGATGCACTAAAGCTCAAGTACAGAAAAATTAACTATGGAGTATGATAACATTTTTCTCAAATGTGACTACTCTGCAAATTGAAAAAGCTTTTCTGACTATTTTTTGAGACTATATTATGAATAAATTTAGAAAAGATATCTAATGTACTGAACTATAAACATAAATATCACTAAATTCATTAAAAAAAAAAAGGCTCACTGTGAAATTAGAACATCTCTTTCTGCTTCCTGAGAACTACTTAAGTCACACACTACCGTGGTCATTATAAGCTACACGAAGATAGTCTCTACTAAGTGGATTCATTGTGATTGTTATTTTTTATTATCTCGACACAGATTGTTAGGCCAAACAGCTAGTATTTTAGAGCAAATACATTAAAAGAAAACTTTTTAAATAACTTTTAGAAAGACTCACTGAAGTCATCTTTTAACTAGATGTAAAACTGGGCCAAATATTTAGGTTAAAAAACAAAAAAAATTCCTTAAAACATGTAGCTTTATCAAAGGTACAGAGTCAAACATGGTATATAAGGTAAGTAATGTATCAACTACAGACCGGACTTCCTAAAGATGACACTGGTAAATGAAGAGGCAGCAATGTGCTGATGGGAAACTCACCCCCACTGACTTGAACTTAAACATACACCGCTGCCATAGAGAAAACGGGCAAGTGAGGCATAGTGCCTTCACAAGCCTTCCCTATATGATATTTAGTACATGTATGATACACATTACATACTTCACAATTCAGTGTTAAAATACAAGGTAGATATTCCAAGTCTTCCACCCATTAGTATAAAATTCATATGTACACAAAAACCCACTGGTGACATTCTTCTCAAATATTACTGATTTAGAATATTTAGAAATAAAAGACACCAACTTACCTCATTTATCATTTCTATTTCTCTAAATGTCAATCTGTCCAGCCAGTCTACTTTTACCATGTGTCCTTGTCGATGAGCTTTGGTAAGCTGCAGGACAACATAAAGGAAAAAAATCTTAACATAGATCTAACAGACAGGAAGATAAAGAATGATACAGGTTAAGAATCCCTAGTCTGAAAATTCAAAATCTACAGATGTCCTCACATGCAAAGCTTTCTGAAGGTCACTTAACATCACAAGTGGAAAATTCCACATCTAATCTCATAGCCAAAACAAGTTCATTAAAGGTAATATGTAAATTTACCTACACCCTAAATATATATAAGGTATATATAAAAATAAATAAGTTTCATGTTTATACTTGTGCCTCAAGTATAAACACAAGATATATTATTATGTATATGCAAATATTCCAGAATCTGAAAAAAATCCAAAATCAAAAATATTTCTGGTCTCAAGTATCTCAGAAAAAGAATGCTCAACCTGTAAAAATCAGTTTCACACATGTAATATTCTTAGACAAAACAACTATCCAGGAAGGAAATCTGATAAAAGACAATTCCCCTTTTTTACAAAAAATAATTTTTAAAAATTGTAAAAAGGCCTATAGTCTTACCATGTTTGGTATACCAACATATATCAAAATCTTTCCTGAACATATCTCCATGTTCTATACTTACATTTTTACTAATATGAACAGTGGAATTATAGTAAGAATAGTTTCTCTAAGGAAAATAAATCACATTTTAGCTCTTCTTCCCATTTTTAATCCAACAAGTATCATGAAAAATGACAGTTACAGATAATAAAGCATTTTCCTGGGAGACATAAAGTAATACTCTAAGGTTTAAGTACATACATATGCATATATGCTTTTATGTTAGAAAAAAATGATAAAAGACTTAAATTGCTCAATTTGCTGTTGGTATAGTCCTCTGAGGTCTTTTACATATGAATTTACCCTTAGTTTCATAAAGTACAAAATACATCAACTCTTTAAATCCACAGAGACTGAATACAAGGCAAGTTCTGCAAGGTCCTCAAATTATAACTAGTTTTTTGGTTTTTTCTTTAAATAAGAAAGAAAGCATATTTGTCAGTGATATAGCTCAGCGGCACAGTGCCTGCCTGGCAAGTGCAAGGTCCTGAGTCCTAATTCCCAGTACGAAAAAAAAAAAAAAAGAAAGCATATTTTTAAACAACAGCTTTACTAATGTGTCAAAACCTTTCTTTCTGAACAAATACAGCATAAAGCAAAACTGGACATCAAAGTCTTACATAGTAGATTCTCTGCATCTTATCCTCTTCACTGGTCATGTCGTGACAGTTTATCTGTGATCAAACACTGCCATCAATTATTCTGTGTCACAGAACTAAAATTCTTCATCATCAATATTCCTTATCTCCTTCAGTTCTTATTACAACAATGAGGTCACACTATTTCAGAAATGAAAACTGCAGCTTCTCACAAAAAGGCTGACATTCATTGTGATATACAATAATAGCAACTTGGCTTTCTTCTGAGTATTAAACTTTCTATCTAAGGTAATCTCTAAATAAAAATGGATAAAAAGATAACAAATACTTGGCATAATTACTCTTCATAAAGGAAAAACTATTTTGTTGCCTATGACAGACTAGTAGGCCAGCATGCTAACAACACAGAAGACCAGAACACAGTTACAAAAGAAGATCAAGTAATGTGACCTAAAAGAGTGCCAGGCTGGGAGCAAGACCTGAGAGTTCCAATCCTAACACTCAAACGCTGTCATTTCTTAACCAGTATCAATAAAATGAAAGTATCTTCTAGTCTTATTTTCAAAATTCAAACAAGTTAATGGATCTAAAACATGACAAGCAGTTTATTATTCCACATAGTCATTAAAGGCTTACATTCTCACTTTGCTGCATGTTCCAAGGTGGTTTTCAGGACAAACAAAAATATAAAAGGTCAAATTACATCCTTTGCTTGCAGTGTAACAGTATAAATTGGTAAGAGTTTATATAATTTCTACAGGAAGAAACAAATACATATGCCAAATTCTTTCATACTTTATAGCCACAGTATTAAGCAGACAGTTTGGACCCCAGCCTGCAGATTATCAACTACTACCGTGAAGTGGTAGTGCAAGGACTTAAATCTCAGGTTTTCCACGTTCCTAAAGCCCATTTTCCTTCTGTCAGTCTTTGCAATCTACTCTCCACTGGTGTACTATTACTAAGAATTATGCTTGACTAATTTCTGTCATTTATTGAACATTTCATATTTATGGTACAATAGTTGATCCCTCACTAATTTACTAGGTGGAAACAGCTACCAACAGTAAATTAAGTGTAAATGTTGGAGAATGTAGTGGAGTTTTTCTCTCCATTACTAAATTATCCAGACAAATCTGAAATGTTACAAAGCCATTTGTACTGGCCTCAGAATTTATGATTGCTACTAATACATATTATTTCCTATATAGCATATGTCTAGCTTTTTCCTATGTGAATACCAAATATCACCTTTCTCACTCTTCTAAAGGGCTATCAAAGAATATATAATCACTGTGGCAGTAATAAACTGGTAAAGCTATTATGGAGCACATGGAAGTTTAAATTATCCTACAGACATTCACATTGGTGTAAAATTATTTATAATACAGAAAAAAATAGACATAAAAGAATTCAAACAACAATCAACAGTGGGAATTGCTAACTACATGGTACTCACACACTATAAAATGCTGTAATCTCCAAGAATGAGGGAAATCTAGATGCCTTGATAAAGAAACGTAACTGCTGACCACAAGAGTAACTACAAAATCAGAGGTGCCATTTGCACTGTTATGACTGATTACACACTGTCTCCTGCACCAGATTTGGGATTAAGAGCAGAAATTCTACCTATTTCTGTTCAAATCAGTGTTTTTAAATTTTTGCAGAACTGAGTAACTACCATTCAAAATGTCTTCTAAAAATACTATCTTCAGGTCTGGGGATTTAGCTCAGCGGCACAGCGCCTGCCCGGCAAGCACAAGGTTGTGAGTTCGATTCCTGGTACTGGAAGAAGAAAAAAAAAAAACTGTCTTCTAGTCACTTGTCCTATTTATCTATTACTACCTAACAAACCACCCCTAAAGTAGTGGGTTACAACACCATTCAACTAGAGAAGTGATCATTTATTTGCAAAGGTACACGTGGGGAGAGATTGGGAATGTCAGTAATCTCTGTCTTTACATAGGAAAAAAAGATCTGCATTTTGTTAAACACCAGGGTAAAACAGTACAACGTGTTTCAAATTGTTTATGAAGAAATAATCCTCACTAGGGTGTTCATTCTAGGAAAGAGATAGGTCAAGAAATCAGCAAAAGTGTCATTCACTCTTTGTAAGGAACACAGGTTTCCAAAGAATTCACAAAACACCATATAGAGATCTCAGAAGTGAAGCCCACTGTCACAAAAACAGTGTCATAATTATTCAACCCTAATTTCTCCAGGAATTAAACAGCAAGGGGTTGTAAAACGTATTCCAATAAAAGAATCCCTGAGAATCAAATAACAACATACCCAGGAAACTTCTTAGAGTACTAATCATGTATTATTAGATTCAATACAAAGGAATATGTGCTTGAGGAAGATAACTCATATCAGTAGGTGTTTAATAAAAGTACCAAAGACAGCTAAAAGTAGGTCAGTGTGCTACTGTACTATCCCTAGACTAGAAAGGCAGGAAAAGGGATTGTGAAATAGTGATCCTTAGGAGCAGTCAGGCTACTGTTATCACAAGTCAGAGTGCACTGGTTCTTATTTCTGTCTGTCCTACCAGAGTGTAAGCTTCCTGAGTGTCAAACTATGAATACCAGTAAAAATTGGCACTCACTGTTTAATGAGTATTATATTTAGTGAATGGAATCCTCCGTAAAAGGGTGATAAGCAGAATGGAAATAAATATTTCTCAACTCTGGAATTCTGCCAAGAGAATCAGAAGGAAGTAACATTCAAAAGGAAAACAGTAGAAAGGATTCCTTGGTCAATTTTCACCCGTATTTATATATAGTCAACACAGATATTTTTTTTTGTTTTTTTTTGTTGTTGTTGTTTTTAGATATGTTACTCATTGCTGTTCTAACAGTTCCATCATATGCTCTGTCCTGGAGGTTAGCACAGATGTTGAATGAAGCAAGTTCTCCACTCTCATACAAGTGCAGGGTAAAATGGTGAGTCATTCACAAGGTAAATCCTTAAAGATTTAACTACAAATCAAAATAATGACATGAGAATAATAGTGAGGGGTTATGGCTTGAGGTTTCCCACAGGTGTAACATTTAAGTAGAGACTTGAAGGATAGGAATCAGCCAATTAAATAGGATGAAACCTTCTAAGCTGAGGAAATAGCATGTTTGTCAGTGTATCAGTACACCTGATCTCCCCAGACACCAAGGAACAGAACAGTAACTTCCAATAAACAACTACTAAATAAGTCATGTGTATATTAGAAGATTTATATATACTAACATACGATGCTATACTGGTAATCACTTTTCTTGAATTTTATCATGATCTAGAGTTCTATAAGTAAAGTCAAAAGAGAGAGAAAAGAGTGACAAGAACTGAAAAACAATATTTATCTCTTTCAATTCGGCCCAAGAATTTGTAGGGAAGCACTGTAATGGGAACACACACAGAAAGATAGACAGACTCAAAGGGAAACAGGAGAGAAATGTCTTCGACTTCATGAAACTGCCTTAGCCAGTTTCTCCCATATTCTTATACCCGCTCATCATTACAGTACACACCAATCACATGTGTCTATCAAGGAAGACAAGACACACTACACAAGTTCACATATGCTATGCAAAAGGTAGGCTGTTCTGTTTAGTAAGAAGTAGTATTACTGTTTAAGTAATTTAATACTAATTGTAAGAATGTGCCGGGCGTGGCGGTGCACGCCTGTAATCCCAGCATTCAGGAGGCTGAGGCAGGAGGATTGTTGTGAGTCTGAGACCAGCCTGGGCTACAAAGTGAGCTCAAGGCCAGCCTGAACTGCATAGGGAGACCCTGTCTCAAAAAGACAAAAAAAAAAAGAAAGAAAGAGATAAATA